GAGAGCCCCTCTGGTTAAGATGGGCCCAAACTTTGCTCTGAGCCAGCAGCACCGGCCTCCACATGGGGGGTGGGTGGGATCGAAGCCCAGCCAGGTGGGGTCCTCCCTCATTCACTTAGGGAGCGAGCCCACCCCATCTCAATGTACATAGTTCATGTTTCTTCCCAGGGCAGGCAGGCGAGCATTTAAACTGGGTGCATGAGCAGCTCCAGACTTTAGTGTAGCATGTAGCCCGATGACAGGCATTTTGTTGAAGACAAGCTCCTTGGTTACAAAACCCCTTCAGTAGCTGTCAAGGTTCCGTTGTATCTTCTCGACTCAGTCGCTGTGAAGCCGACTTCACAGCCAAGGGTTAGAGAGCCTAGTGGTGGGGTTGCTGTTGGTAGTCATGTAAATTGTGATTATAAATAAACATGCAAATGTTTTAGTTTCTTCTACCCCCGCCCCTCAAGAAAGCCACCCTCTTTAAGATCAAACATTCAGGCTTGAGCCAAGAAGTTTATTTTGTTCACAGTTTGGCACATGAGCCTATAACTTCATCTTTATGAACTTTCCCTATCTGTGGAAGCCCACTGCTATTTCATAATCACCCCTCTCTCTGTCCAAATGGCCTTGTGGAAGCCAAAGAGCTCACATACTTTGATGTTTTGATGCATTGTTCCATTATTTCCTGTGGCCTTTAGTAGCTGTGGCCCAGACTCCCTATGCACCCTGACTGGCTCATCTCCTTCCTGAGACCCTTCTGTAAGGGGAAGTCCAGTGACCTAAAAATGGGCTTTGGGTCTCCACTTGACACTACCCCCCTCATTCACAATGATATTTTTTGTTCTGATGATGCCTGATACCTGATGCCTTTGACACCTCGTGATCACACAGGCTGGTGTGCTTCTTCCATGTGGGCTTTGTTGCTTCTGAGCTAGATGGCTGCTTGTTTACCTTCATGCCTTTAAGACCCCAGTCTGCTGTCTTTTCTTTAATTGCATCCACCACTCCTAAGGACCCATTCGACTGTGGGGCTGGATCTCACAAAACATCATTTATTATGTGTCAGGTATGGTGCAAGGTAGCCATACTCGTATTCTCATATATAATCTCATTTGACTGGACTATTAATGCTAAGGAGATTAAAACAAAATTTTCATTTGCTTTTTACTTTTTTATTGAGGCCAACAGATATATAATCAAGTGCACTGCTTTTGATTGCACAACCTGATGATTTTTTTTTTTACTTATGAGTATACTTGTGGAACCAGCACCCAGATGAAGGTAGAGAGAATTCCACCACCCTAAGAAAGATCCCTCACCAATCCTGACTGTCTCCCACTCTCCACCCCAATCAATAACACTGACCCTTGCCAGAGAAAACTACTGATCTGACTTATCTCTATTGATTAGTTTTACCTGTATGTCAATTTAGTTATGTTTTGAGTTTGACTTCTTTTGTTCAATGTAGTTTTATAAATTAATCCATGTGTTGTAAGTTGCTGTTAAAGATATTGTAAAACACCCTTCAGGCCACAGAGAGGTATTTTACATCATCATAATGATTGGATTAATCTTGTCTGCTGGAGAAAGCAATTAGATGCACTGCTTAGAGGAAGCCAAATACTTCTAATGTATTTACATATGCAGTAAATAAAAAGATACTGATTATGACATGTACAGAGAATTTATATAAGTTTTGGCCAGTGAAACTGTGATTGTATTTACTTAATCCTGGCCTCAATTATTCGGACAAGGGATTCTCCTGACCTTTGGGGAATGGATAATTCAATATTGATCTACATTTACTATGAAATATTAATATACAATAAAAGGAATGAACTATTCATACAAAATAACATGGATGAACTTGAAAACATGCTAAGAAATAAGGTCAAATGCACAGACTGCATCCTCCATGATTTCCTTGAGATGGCATCCCAGCACGAGCAATGCTGTCCTGACAGAAAGCCGATGAGCCTGGCCTGGGTGTGGGAGGATGGAACGGGACACAGGGAACAATTTTGGGTGATAGAACTGTTGTGTATCTTAACTGGTTACATGGTCACATTACTGTACACATTGCCCCAATCCATAAAATTACATACTTAAAATTGGTGAGTTTTATTTTATATAAATGATACATCAGGAAAAAAGCTGTAAAATTCTTCCAAGTGTACGAAAGGGTATAAGCAGTGGAAAGTAATTTTCCCTCCCCCATTTATGTATGATCTCTTCCACTCTTCAATCTATCCTCTAATCCTACTGATTTTGTAGTAGTTCTTTTGATTTACACAATGAAAACTTGAAGAGTTTGAAACTTAGGCTAAGGATATAGGGATTCAGATGACAAAATTAGACATATAAAAAGTTTCTCAATATTTTTTCCTTGTGTGTTCAGACTTCTCAGTCTCTGGTTCTTGCTTTCCCTTACTGAGTGCTTTGTAAAGATTGTTCACCACAATCCCCTGAAATGTGAATTAATAGCTTGGTTAATAAAACTGATGCTTAAGGAGGTCAAATAATGAGGCTGCCCACCTAGTAAGTAGCAAAGCTGGAGTTCAATCCAAATCTGTCCAGACCAACAAGGTCCTTGGTCCATGATCACCAATCCAATGTGCTAGGCTGCGGTTCTGGGGAGGAAATGCTACCTCTAATGAGGGTTCATACCCTGGAGTAGCAAAGCCAATTCACTAACTCCAAGTTCGAGAGAAAAAGGGAGATTTGTATTCCCCTAAGGTGACACCAGCAATGGGACTGACAGCACCACCGGCTGTCTTGATGGCATCCCCTTTGTGCTCAAAACACATGGGGATTGTGCACTTTTTACTTTACTGCTTTACATTAACTCAGGATTCAGAATAACCATGGAATGCGATGACTGACCAGAGCAAGTAGACAGAACAATGAGATTCTTTACGTCTTAGGTTAGTTTCAGGATGTCTCTGTTGACTAAACAAATCAAACACACTGCCATCTCGTCAGTTCTACTCATAGTGACCCAAATACAGGGGAGAACTGTCCCGGTGGGTTTCTGAGACTGTAACTCTTTCCAGGAGTAGAAAGCCACATCTTTCTCCCTTGGAGCAGCTGGTAGTTTTGAACTGCTGACCTTGTGGTTAGTATTCCAATGAGTAGCCTGCTATGCTACCAGGACTCCTGTTGACTAACTCAATAGCAGGAATCAGTTCCATGGGATGGTCCTCAGAGTTATCCAGAAGATCTTTCACGAAACATCATATCTGCCTGTGAGCAATGCAGCAAGCTATAAAAATTCCAAAAGCTCTAAGGTGGAGGTCAAGGAACTCCTGCTGTGACTTAGGTTAAGTACAGTTAGGCCACAGGAGGCAGGAGGGAGGGGAGGTGGACCTCTGAGTCACAGAGCAGTGGTACACTTTCATTTCCATGCCCTATCACGCTCTTAGCGAGAAACATCGAGAAATTCTGCTCCTCTATTTTGCCATGCACACCTTGGAAAATCTTTGATTAATACTAGTTCTCAAAACAGGGATATAGTCTGTTCCGCCTTATTGTATCAAATTCCTTGGTGCCTCAGGTTTCTTATTTGAAGAAAATTATTTCTACTGCAAAAGCTAAAGGTCTTATTTATGTGCGAAGTGCTTTCTCCTGTTTCCATTAAGCCTTTATTAAATGTGTTTCCCTCATCTTCTGCAGCAGGAGGGACAGAGGGAAGGTCCAAGGGTGAAGCATCTCTTTCGTTCCTCCAAGTACCTTTCCTTTAAAATAGGGCCCTCCAGGGACACAGGCAGGCAACTGTTGACCTAGCCAAATAATCAGCAGCAAGCATTTTAGCAAAACAAATACATCTTCTGAGCCCTGGGGGTCATCCCTGTTCTATCGTTTACTCTGTCTTCACTCCAGTGTGGCAAAGACAGGGTAAGGTCAGCTATGGGCACAGTATTGGAAGAGACTTCAGCGTGTCAAGAAAGGAAGGGATGAAATGGTACTGCTAATGCCAAGAACATTCTGGAACTTCCTTACTTTCTCTTGTATTGTAATAAACTCCAGTCACCCTTGCCACCTACCCTGCCCTTTTCAGGCAGTGGTCTGAAAGCAAGGGGCGACAATATAATGTCAAACTCCAGACAATTTGTGTCACAATTTCTATAGCAAGTTGAGCATCCACTCTGAATGCTTTTGTTCATCAGTGGATGTGCAGAAGGGGCAGACAGCTAGAATACTTTCTACATGCAAAGTTAAATCGGTCCTGCTGAGAGGAAGACTGTCCTGTGTCCATGCTGTGTAAGGAGGCATGGTGTTGTGGCTGCCATTGTATTGCCAGTGTCTGAGCTCTTTGCCCTGCACTTCGAAGGTTCTCAGCCGGGCTGGCACAGATGGCAGCACTCATTTAGCCCAGCTTCTTGTCCGAGGGAGAGAATCTGCCTTCAGGGGCTAGACAGGTGAGGAGAGGCCAAGGGCAGGTCTGGGAAAGCCCTTGTCTTGAAGGCTTTGCCCCTTATTGACGACGCAGCGAACATTCAGCTCATCTGATAGAGCCAGCGTTGCTAGATCTTCATGTTTTCAAGAGGAGTCAGAAATCTAGTGTTTTCTATAAAACGTCCAGCTTGATCTCCAGCTTGATCTGTAGACGGCCAGTTTGGACCTCTTTTTGAAGCCTTTAAGGATCTAAATAGAACAATAACGATGTCACTTCTCACACCAAACTATTTTGACAGAGGAGCGAGGTCAGCCTTCACAAGCCAAAAGGCCACTGTTCTCCAAACTTCCAAGTCTCCCAAGACCTCAGATGCCAGTTGAAAGCTAGGGAGTCCTCCTCATGGCCTCACATTTGACTCACTCCACCTCTGCAGGGTGCCAGCCATAGACTTGGGGGTCTCCAGCACCTTCACTTCTTTTTAATTTTTTTCCAAACCATTTTATGGTGAGTTAATCCTGACAACATACCATTCCATAGTTCAATCACATCAAGCAGTATTATACAATTGCTACCAAAGTCAGTTTCAAAACATTTTCTTCCTTGAACCTCCAGATATTAGAAACACACGGAAAGCTTCGCAAATGTTCGTGCCATCCGTGCTCAGGGGCCATGCGAATCTTCTCTCTATGTTCCCATTTTCACCCACATGCTGCTGAAGTGAGCACATACCTTCGCTCCCAGCCTGCCAACTGCAACTACTCGCTGGGATTCAGTAATTCAGTAGAGTGACTCCTAGGAGCCATGGAAAGCTCTTGTGGGTCGGTGACGCCGAAGTGTGTTCCATGTCATAGCGTCCCCAACTCACAGCATGAAACTGCCTGGTCCCCGCCATCCTCACACTCATTTCAGCCGCTGAGTCACTCCAGCTCTTTGAGAGTCTTCCTCTCTCTTGCCAACCCTCTGCTTTACCCAGCATGAGATCCTTTTCCCAGGGCTTGTTCCTCCTGAGAACCTTTCCAAATTACGTGAGGCAAAGTCTCACCATCCTCACTTCTAAAGTGCATTTTGACTCTGCTTCTACCAAGAAAGATTTGTTTGTTTGGTTCGCGGTCCATGGTATGTTCACTGTACCGTTATGCTGAGGCAGGAGGTTCGGAAACACTATTACTTTAGCCCACAGGGCCTAGGGGAATCCCTCAGTTGACTGGGGACTGGGGAAGCAATTACCTCTGGCCATGACAACTGTCTAAGTCAGGAAGAATTAATGTAAAGTTCATTTATTCTTTGTTGTTGTTGTTGTTGTCAATTGGCTTATGATAATAGAACCAACAATAGAAATCTCTGAAAATCCCACCCCCCAGACTGTGTCTATGTTAACTCCCCTTTGAAATCTCAATGCTATTTTAAACTCAATGGTTTCCCTCAAATAATTTTCATTTGTAAGCCAGTTACAGATTCCAAAATTGATAACAACGGCATTACTATCTCTCAGAGGCATCATTGACTAAATAAATCACCATATGCTCCTATACCACTAGTTTACCCACCAAACTTTCCTCCAAAATACATCACATCCTATCTCTCCATTCTTACAACCATCATCTGGCTCTACTCCCTTAGTATGGTTTCTAAATATTCTGGACTAGAAAGCTGCGTAGGATGGTGCTTAATACTCTGTGAGCCTTGTTTCCTTTGCCTCTCACAAACACCTCACCAAAAGGTATTATTTTTATCAGCACTAACTTTCCTCAGGTCTCGTGTTGTTAATTTGCCTTTGAGATGGCTCCGACTCATCGCCATTGGAAAGCTCAGTATTTATGATTATGAAGTGTTAATGTAGGAAAAAGGATAAACATGCAGTGATGCATGGGGGGAGGTCCTGAAAGGCTCTTCACGCAGAGCTTCCAGGTCTCAATGAGACATGTGCTACCTTTCTGTGTGTATCAATGTTGACCACCAACCAGGAAACCCTTGAGCTTCCAGATCCAGACCATTATGGGGACCCCGTGACACAGCCGTGACTGAATGAGTCAGGCTGCCTCCCCTCGAGCTTAGCTAATATCATGAGGTGGCTTTTCTGGCCTGACTCACCTCATTAGCATACGTTCGCAGATGTGAACTGGAGGTCGATAGATGATACAAGCACCTCAGTTACTCAGGGTTTAGAGTTCTCTCAGGAACCAAGGACAAGGTCCAAACTGGGCAGAGTTCATGTAAACCCCATAGGATCCAAAGATTTATTTTGGTAAAAGATCAGGTTTAATTTCATGGAATAGCTTAAAAATAAGTTGTTGTTTTTAATCACATTGCCCCCAAATGATGATACTTTGACCAAGTTGGAGCTTGGTCATTGGTAACTCACAAACTGGTGAGACCCTAGCTTACCCATTTTTCTAAGCCCCTCTTGTCCTCCTCCTCACTGGGAAAGTGAACACTGGGATGCTTTGGATCCTTAGAGGTTGGTTTCTGCCTTGAAGTGGGGGCTTAGATGGTTGTAGTCCATTTCAGACCCAACCTGGCTCATGTCTGTTTCCTTTTCTCCCTGTCTGCCCAATTTCACTCGAGTGACTCTTCCTTATCACCATTTAAATATGCTCAGGTTTCTCTAAAGTTAGGACATGGTAGAACCCTCCATCCACCCCAACACATTCCTATCCTTCTGTACCTTTGCCAAGACCTTGTCACCGTCCATCCTCTCGAAGAATCATCCACACCTGTTACTTCCATACCTTTCTTTGATGGCCTGCAATTTGGCAGCTACTCTTAACAAAAGTCTGAGCAAGTTTTTACCAAAGTCAACTGGAACTTCCATTAATGTTTTCCACCCTTTGCCTTGATCTCGCAGTAGATTTTGACTTGGATGACTGGTTCCTCCTTGTTGACATTGTTTTCTCAATTCCTCATTTACTTGGTTCTCCTTTGGCTTCTCTGATTGCTGCTTCCCAGCTTCCTATGGGCATTCCTTCTTCTGGAGGCTTAATGTTGATGACCCTCAGAGCCCAGCCTAGCCCCTCTTCATTTTTAGCTTGACACCCCCCCCGCCCCCAGTAGATAATCACAATTAGAAACCATTGCTTATGCTGTGACCTATATGCTAGACCCTCCGAAAGCATCACCAGCTTAGATTTCTGAAATCCAGAGGGATGTCCTTCCTACTGGACATCCTCATGTGGTGTTCCTCAAGCACCTCCACCTCAACATGACCAAAGTGAAACGCATTCTCTTCTGAAATAACTGCCTCTCCTTTCCCCCTCTTCTCCCCTCTCTTCCCAGTAACTTGGAACTGGCCACGGTAGGTGTTCTTAGGTTATGGAAATTGGCAAGCCCTACCAATTGGGGTTCTCACCTCCCATGGGCTTCCTCCTTGGGCACTTTCCCAGCACACCTCTGCATATATTGTTTTGATGGGCTCTCTAAAGAGGCTAGAACCCCTCAGTAATGGGTTGGAGGCAATTCATTGCCTTTAACATTTACAACTGGGGAGAATAACAACAGCAATCATCATAGCAGTTGTGTTGGGCTGCTAAGAGCTGGGCCAGAGGTTCAAATCCACCAGATACTCTGAGGGAGAAAGACGAGGCTGTTTGCTCCCAGACATATTTACTGTGGACCCTATGAGTCGGGATCAATTCAATGTCAGTTTCTTATAAGTTTAATAAACATTTACTATTTCCCAATCCTGCGCTTAAGTGCCTTATATATTTAATTTTGTTTAATATTTGTAGCTAAAAGTAGGTGCAATTAGCCCACCATACAGAAAAGGATACTGAGAGTTGAATTGGTCAAAGTTAGCTCCCTCTGCAAAGTTTGATGTCTGGCCTGCGTGTAGAGTCTGCGATTTTACTCTCCACTCATGGGCCCTCATTGGTGTGTTGGGTTTTCATCCTACCTCCCATCCACACTTCACAAAAGCCACCCCGGGGTTTTCAGTGAACTCCCTCAGTCCCTGTTCTAGCTGACTGGACTAAACGGGTGGGTAATCATCTTAGAGGAGGTCAGCTGAGACCATGACGGGCATTTCAGCCAAGACTGAGAAACAACTGGAGGCTGTAAGAACCGGGTTGTGTCAGCAACGGAGTGGCACTTTGGATTGAGAGCTTGATTTTAGTTTCTTGGTGACATATTGGTGGGAATTGTTCTTAAATAAAATAGGCCCACCTGCTGGGATAATATAGGTCAGCAACTGTTTGTAGTCAAGTTTTAAATGCTTCAGGGAGGGTTCCAGAAAACTGTCAAGCATATGTCTCAAAGCGTCTCCCCAGTGTCCCTGAACAATCATACTCTAACACTTGGTTGTAGAGCACTTTTAATTCGGAATCTAAATAAGGGCCATAAACAAAAGCCTGTCCACTCGCACAGCTCCCTGAAGAGGTTGGTGGACATTGGACACTGCTGACGCTGCTCCTGTGGTCACAGCCTGGGCCTTGTTACTGCTTGAAATGGCTCCTTCCAAGAAATTTCACCGCACGTCCATCCTTTCATGCCTATCTCTCCTCATGAAATGTGTTTGTTCCTCAGCTGCATGCAGTCTCCCAGATACCAGCTGTCCCAGTCTCCCCGCTTTCTTTTTGACCCAGGCTGGAATCCACTGCCAAATTCTATGGTGATTTCTTGTGGAGGACTCTCAACTCCCACCCCCTGGGTTTTACTCCCCAATCTCTCTGTAGCTCCGGCCCGCCCCTTTAGTCATTCCACCAGTGCTCACTGTCCTGCTTACATAATCCAGCCTGATGGGGACTGTCCCTATGGAGCTGGTTGCCTGCAGCCCCTAGGCAGACCATCCCACGCTTCATTTGCTCCCATGTGCTCTGATCAGACATGTCCCTTTCTGCCCTCCTGTCTCTTCTCTCAGCTGCATCACCTTTACTCTGAAGTCACGGAGGGCGGGGCCATGTCTTTCATCTTTTTTAGGGAAAATTCAGGCCCAAGGATGTGAACTCTCTCTTTTACCTATAGACTCACGTCTTTCTTTTCTTTTTTAGAATAGGAATTGTCCCTTTCCCCCTTTAAAGTGGATTTCTTCCTCCAGGTAGTTCTCCAAATTGTTTAAAAATGTACAGGTGCTGACGTCATGTTTTCCCTTGAAACTTTCCCGATGATTTCCATTGTCTCCAGGCTCAAAGGCAGACTTCTAATCTTGGTCTGTAAGAAATGCATGCAACTGAAACAGAAGTGCTCACCCCAGGCTGTCCCAGGGAGCTTAAAAAAAAAATCATGCCTCCCCTGGAAATTCAGCTTGAGTGTTCTGTGATGAGACCTGCCCCACAGTATTCTTAAACAGCTGGATTTGTTCAGCTGTTGTTGAACACACTTAGTTCAACCGTGTCTACATGTCAACTCAGTAACATGGTTCATGTTCTTTGAGTTCTGCCACCATTCTTACCCTCCTTTTAGGAATTCTTCCTTCCCTTTAATATATACTGCTCGCTAAAGTTCCGATCTAATGTTTCTAGGTTGATCACATAGACATAGTTCTTAAAAAGCATAAGGCTCAAGGCAGACATTCTTTGCTTATTGGTTAAACTGTTTAGTTTAAGAAGACTTTGGGGGATTATTCTTGGTTTAGGGCAATCATTTTAGGGATTCTCATTCAGCCTCCATGGATCCAGAAATTTGGGGTTCTATGAGAATTCTGTTCTACATTCCCCACCCTACCCCCCTTTGATCAGGATTCTTCTAGAGCAGTGATTCTCAACTTTCCTAATGCCACGACCCTTTCATACA